TGTGTGGAAGATTAGCCCTGAGCTAACATCTGTGCCAATCTTCCTCCACTTTATATGTGGGATGCCTGCCACAGCATGGCTCAATAAGCAGTGCCTAGGTACAGGCCTGGGATACAAACCGGTGAACCCAGGCCACCGAAGAAGAGCATGTGAACTTACCCGCTATGCCATCCATGCCAGCCTCAACAATGTCTCTTTTAAAGGGCGAGTTTCAATAGATCATGGATCTAAATGGAATATGGATCCCCTCAAAAGTAGTTAATACATTCTCTTTCCTATTCCGTGAAACTTAAGGAGAGGAATTAAACCAAAGCTGAAACCTTAAGAAGGTGAAATGTTAAGACCTGGTAACTAAAAGAGCTTCACGTAGAAACACCTTGAGAGACTGAGGCAATAATCTTTATTTCCACTGTGATAGAGACATTACATCAATAAGAAGATGTTTACCCCAGAGACAGCCTGCTGTGATGTGCGTTCACTATGACGTGAGTGCTCTGCGGAGCACCTGACTTTATAAGATTTTTTTTTGAGGAAGATTAGCCCTGCGCTAACATCCGCCACCAATCCTCCTCTTTTTTCTGAGGCAGGTTGTCCCTAAGCTAACATCTGTGTCCATCTTCCTCTGTTTTATATCTGGGACACCTACCTCAGCATGGCTTGATGAGTAGTGCGTAGGTCCGCACTTGGGGTCCAGGCCAGCAAATCCTGGGCCACCGAAGCTGAGTGCGTGAACTTAACCACTGCACCTCTGGGCCAGCCCCTCATCCTTGACTTTAGACCTGATTCTATCATTGACTAGCCGCATGAACTGAGGCGTCATCTGTCTTAACCAGTGCTCTTGACCTATGGTGTGGATATTCCTCGGAGATATAATATAAAACTCTGCTTAAAGAAATAGAAGAAGGTAGGGTTTTACCTAGCCAGCCCTGGTGGTCTAGTGATTAAGATTCAGTGCTCTCGCGGCCACAGCCCTGGTTCCTTTCCCTGTGAGGGAACTACACCACCCATCTGTTGGCTGTCATACTGTGGTGGCTGTGTGTTGCTGTGATGCTGAAAGATTTGCCAGCAGGGTCACCCATGGGGGGCAGGTTTTGGTGGAGTTTCCAGACTAAGACAGACTAGGGAGAAGCACCTGGCCACCCTCTTCCAAAAAACTGACCATGAAAACCTTCTGAATAGCAACAAAGCATCATCTGATACAGCACCTGAAGGCGAGAGGATGATGCAAAAAGACTGGGTAGGTTTCAGCTCTGCTGTCCACAGGGTCGCTAAGAGTCAGAATCAATTCCATGACACTAACAAGGGTTATACTGATATCGACCCTGATATCAGTCTCCCCACATTAAACCCAGCATATATGGGGTTAAAACCAAAACACTCATTCCCTGCTTACTCTCTGGCTTCCTGCCTTCAGATTCCACTATCCTCCATGGAGACAGACACTGTCCAGGACAAGCACCTGGATCATCTCCTCCCCACAAAGAGATACAGGCTGGTGGGAAAGCTGCTGACCAGCAAGGTCATGGGCTCCCTCCTCTCTGCAAGCGTCTCAAGGCCAAAGACATGCTGGTGGGAAAGCTCTGACCAGCAAGGCCATATGCTGCCCCTCCCCTACCTAAAATCCCAAATAAAAACCCTTCCTTTCAGCTTTTCGGGGAGTTTTGGATTTCAGCATTAGCTGCCCTCTCTTCTTGCTCAGCACTGTGCAAAAATAAAATTCCTACTTTCTTCCACCACCCCCGGTGTCAGAGATTGGCTCGCTGCCCAACTGGTGAGCGAACTCACCTCAAGATCAGTAACAATATCACTAAGTGTGATGTATAGATTTAGGCCCCTAACAGATAACATCACAATTTCAGAAGCATTAAAAACACACACCTACATTCATGAGTGCTGCTATATACGCTTAAAAAATGAAGTTCTTACTTCCCTTTCTCAAACATGGAACATTTTTTGATGAGAGCGAATTTTAAAAATGAAACATTTATTCAATCTCATTATAAAGCATAATTTTTCCGGAATATTTTAGTGCCCAGAGGTAAATTACAGAGATGTGTACAAAGTAAAGCTATTTTTCTAATCCAATCGCTGACATGTTAAAAAATTTATCTGAACCGAAAAAAACAAAACAAAATAGTTCTTCAGCAGCATCATCTTTGCTTCTTAGATCTAGCTTTAAAGGCAGAGCAGTCAAAGGCCCCAACAAGCACACAGAAGAACCAGCCAGAATGCAGGGTCTGCTTTGACGTGTTCTCACCCTCCTCTCCCACATGCAGACATGCAGATGTTACTCCTGGATCTCACTCACACCTGTTCCTTGTCTCCACGCACTGGCACAGCCCGTGTGGACTAGCCTCTTCTCACTGTAGACTAGTGTCTTTCCTGCACTGAAGCCAGGCCCATCCTTTGACAACTGGCATTCAATCGCTTAACGCCCTTCTTTAGAATCCCTCGAATGTTTCCTCTTAAGATAAAGGTTTTTTGTTTGTATTTTTTTTATCTTAAACTACAACACAAGGCTTTGCATTATCTGGTTCCTTTCATATACAGCCAGCTTTCTTTTGGGTCCTTGCTTTCCCTCTGATCCCCTCCTCTTCAGAAGCACCATTCTCCTTCCCACCTTTGCCCACGATCGCCCCTCAACCTAACAATGTTTGTTCCCAGCTTCCCCAAGCTCACCTGGGGTCCTGGTCCAGGTGGCTTCTCATGCTTCAGACCTCTACTTCCTTCGACCATATGGGTTTTTCCCCAAATGCTTCTCCTAGTTTGTGATTGTAAACATCTTACTCAGTTACCTGTATCTCACGTCAGGGGGTGAACTAGGTTTGTTTTGTTGATCATTGTGCTTCCAGTGCCTGCACATAGTATTTGCTCAACACATGCACACCATGTGTGCACACACAAACACATTTGACAAAGATTCTGGCTTGTAGTAGGTAGCCAACAGAGTAGTTATTTTTTATTTCTTTAAACTCTCAAGTACCAAGAGAGTTCTTTTTTTGTTATTGTGAAGAGTAATGTTGCTTCAAAGTTGTTTGCCTCCCAAATTCCAAGCACTGAATTGCTACCAAGCTACATGTTGGCAGCTTTTCCCTGGTCACACACTTCCACCATGACAACTCAGTAACTTTGAGCAAAGTTATCAAATTCAAACCTGTCATCAAAGATAGTAACACTTTGAATGGCACTTGATCCAAATCAAATGCCCTTTCCGCTACAAACACACATATACACACACACACACACACACAAACTGTGCATATACATGCTGTAGACGGCACTTCCTTCATGAGAATAGTTTGTAGTGAAAGGTGGGAAATATGGAGTCGAAAAGTGTAGATAACATGGGGCAAGGTCTATGTAGCTTTATTTTTTCACTCACCTAACATTTTTATGGATCAATGATTTATTCATTCAGTCACCAACTATTTCATGGATTTGCCAAGCATGTGCCAGGTATGTTCCTATCACAGGGTACTCAGTGATGAATACAACAGGTATGGTCCCTAAGCTTATGGAGCTTACATTCTTGTGAGGGGAGATAGAAAACAAACTAGGCAACAAAGAAGGAATGGAAATACAGTTATTAGTGCTATGAAGCCCTGGGAAGGAAAAGGTGAGAAGGCCATAACAGAGAATCCTGGGGTGTGTGGCAGGGCCCTCCTTTCTGTATTTGACTCCTCCCTCCCTTCCTTCCTCTGTTCCTTCCTTCTTTCCTTCCTTCTCCTTTCTCTATAATCAATGTCATTCAGAAAAGGAACTGAAATAGCTAATGGTATCTCTTCTTTTTTGAGTTTTATGCTTTTCAAAATATGATCATTCTGCCTTAGTGAATCCCTATAATAATTCTATCAGGTAGGTATTATCTTCACCGTAAAACAAGATTATGAAAAGTAAAATGACTTGCTAGATGTCAAACAGTTACTTAATAGAAGGACTGGGGGGGGGAAGTCAGGGCTCCTAACTCCTAGACCAGAGTTCTCTACAATACTGCCCTATGCCAGTTAGCTAGTTTAATGACAGGATTTTGTGGAAATTGTTGGTAAGCTTAAAGGAAGGAACTATAACTGTGGCAAAAATCCTAGAAAATGCTATAGCTATCTTCCAGAAATAGTCTGCTACACAAAACAGAGTCATGGTGTGCTCCAAAGGACAACAAAATTTCCCCTGGGTCTCATCATCTCCTGTCAGGTCATCTTCACAATAACTGGGGGGAAGTAGACCCTCCATAAGGCTCTGACATTTTGCCTGCCACTTGTGCACACGGAAAGATGTGACATTTCTTACACTTTTGAAAACATCAGAGAAAATAAAAGAATTGCTCTCGTTCTGAACTTTACCTCTGCTAGACCAAAGGATTTGCTGACAGGGCAGGGATGAAAGCAAGAAAGGGGAGGATCCCAGAAAGAAGAGACAAGAGGAACAGATCCCCAGGCTCAAATAACAGTTGACCAATGATCATACTGGTAAAATCGCCTTCTACAATACCTGCACTCTATACCATGCCTTTCCTATTGAAAGGATCAACAAAATTCTTGAAGTACTTCTCTCATCTGTGCTTCCAAGATTACTGAGAATATGACATCCGCTCAGGAGAAGAACCAACTCATTGACACACAGTTGATTGGATGTCATTTCACTCAAAAAGGTTGTTTTGAAGTTGTTTGCACAAACCAAATACATAGCCTGTTGACCAAAGCCACAAAGGACGTAATTTCCTCAAGTTCATAAAGAAAGTCAGTAACAGAATCAGGTCTAGAATTCTCATCTTTTGAAGACCTGTGTTGTGGACCCTGCCCTTCTGCCTCTGCTCATTCATTTGCATCATATGAGTCAGCACCTTGGTGGTTAGTGCACCTTGTTTCTAGAACCACTCATTGTTATTGCACCCAGCATTAAGACTCGGTAATAAGTTGAACTCTAATTCGTGGAATCACTGCCATGTGATCATGACATCATAGAAGCCCCACAATTCCGTCTCCTGATGATTCAGTGCAAACCACAGACTGATAGTGGGGAAGGTCGCAGAAGCCCGACAATTCCGTTTCCTGATGTTTCAATTCAGGCCACAGAATGGCAGTGGGGAAGACATGGGGAAAACATCCTGCACAATAGAGATCCAAGCAGCATTTATTCTTTCCTCTTTTGTGACCTTCTTCAGTGGACTTCTCATCTTATTTTTTTCCAGGCTATGCTGGAGGGCCTTAAAAAAATGGCGAGACATCAAAGGAGCAGGACTTCTCTTGGTCAGTTTTCTTATTTGGGGTTCCACTGTATGAAGATCAGAGACAGGTTTGACATGCGTTTGTGTTTAGAAAATGATTTAGGCATCATTCAGTTTTCATGGGCAACAGAGCCAGTTCTGATGGGATGTCTTAGAAAGGGCTGATCCTGTTCAGGGGTGGAAAACCGGAGCCTAGACCACCATTCCAAAGGCCACAGGGACATGGCCATGCCTCCTCTGCCACCAATCAGAGAAGAAAGGTCTCACATGAGTGGTGATGAATGCTAGTTAGCTCTGGAAACAGAGGTCACTCTTCTGAAAGAAACATACACGAACATTATGTCTATGCCCCTCTTTGAATTTTAAAATGACAGTTGTTGTGCTAGGTACTGTGAGGGAGGCAAAAAGGAGCATCAAAGTCAAACTCAGTTTGATAAGTCATTCATGCATGATGCACAAGCACTCATATGTGTACACTGCCTTTCGTGTACCATGTTAACACCACACACCGAATCGCACAAACCTATGCACAGAAACCCATGCGTATGTGCACATGCCATCTAGCCACAAACACAGAGACACTTCTCATGCCATACAATAACAGAATTTGTGGTAACTCAGTAACTTTGTAAAGTCTTTGGCAATATCATAATATGGAATTCAGGTTTCTGCATTCAAGAAGTATTCAACATTGAAGTTCACAGATTTTGTTGCTAAATGAGTTCACTCTATTAATAATTATTTCTAGATTAGAGACTTTAAGCAGCAGCACAAAAATTGGGGAAAGAATTCCGGGGTACTGCCTTCTAACAACACGGATAGTGTACACAAATGAGTAATGGGTATAAACCTACGTTCCACCTCTTTTTTGAATGCACAATTGAATTGCTAGAGCTGTTTCATCGCTTTAGACTTCTGTTCCAAGAAATGCATCTTCTTCCCAATTATATTCATTTTTGTGTGGTTGCAAAAATGTGAGAACCCATTTGTCCACTCACATTTGCTGTATTTTTCATTTCTTTTGCTGGATGTAATTCTTGTCTACTCTTCAGTCCAGAGGTGCTTTTTAATTTCAAATAGAAAGCAAGCGTTACAAAATGTGAAGAGGTGGGGTCTGAGCAACCAGAGTACCGTAGTGTTCTGCTTTTGAATCTTGAGGGGAGTTTGATAAAAGCTGAGTGACTTCTCAATAATTTGTCGTATTTAATTAAATTGAGAGCGCTATAGTTTTCTCTAAGCCTTTGGGAAAGTTGGCATAATGCAAATATGTCACAATTCTAGGTACTGTGAAAAGTTCTTTTAAAAATTATTTGGAGAGTCATAATTTTCTCCTTAAATGTGCATTTTGAAAAGGTTTAGTACATTCATAAGTACAATTTTATTATATCTTAGGGCCAATTTGTTTTCCCACAGAAGGCACCTCCAATTTTCTCATGAAACTCAAATGAATGTCCCACATTAACATCATACTGAATATTTTTTAAAAATCAATTCTCAGGCGACACCTCGGGAATGCACATGATGGGTCATAGGTATTGGAGGGTAAATCGTTGATCAAGACAGGGACTCTATCAAATAGTCATTTAATGAGACTTCCCTTCCCATGACTCAGAAAATATGAGTAGAAAAATTGTCAGCAGAAAGCCTGACTCTGCATAAAATGAGCTTTTCTAAAGGTCATAGGGTCTCAATCAGCCTGCTGTGGTCAATGCTAGCTCACCTGTGTCTTTCTTGGTGGTGATTCAAGACTATCAACAGACATGAAGTCTAATTCAGACCCCAGCCTTTCCTCATTACCTGCTCGCGGGCAAGTCTTTTAATTTCTTTATACCTAGGCTTCTTTAAAATGAATTTAATCATACTGACTTTGTCTACCTCATGGGCTATTATAAATTTCCAATTTAACAAGTAAAGGCATTTTGTAAATGTGAAGGAAGGATTATAATTTCAGCAGCTTGTGATACCACATGAGGAACTAAAACAACATAAAATTGCTGAAACTTTTCTTCTTTTTTTTTTTAACTTTTGCCCATATTCCACTAAGCAATTTTTTTTTTTTTGAGGAAGATTAGCCCTGAGCTAACTACTGCCAATCCTCCTCTTTTTCTGAGGAAGACTGGCCCTGAGCTTATGTCCATGCCCATCTTCCTCTACTTTATATGTGGGACACCTAACACAGTGTGGCATGCCAAGTGGTGCCATGTCCACACCCAGGATGCGAACCAAGGAACCCAGGGCTGTGGCGAAGCGGAACGTGCACACTTAACCGCTGCTCCACCAGGCCGGCCCCCAAACTTTTCTTCTTCTTTCTCTCTCAAAAAGGCAGGTGCTTAAGTAATCACCTAAAAATCAATTTTTTCGTTGTCCGTGTGCCTTGACGGAAAAGGATAAGACACTTCTTCCCAGAGCATAAAGAAACATGTAGCTCCTGGTCCTGATCATGATGGCCGTGTCATTGTGAAGGCCCTGGGACTGAGATATGTGAGAAAGGCATGATGAAGACTGCAGACTTCAGAATTAAAAATCTGTGCAGCAGCAAGTAACATGCAAAGCCACTAACACTCATTTTGTGTGATACCGAATAAGCCACATCAGGGCTCCCTGGGTTGGACCAGGTGAAGTGATTTCTAGCTGATACCACAGCAGAAGCTCCATCAACAGCCATAAAACAGATTACTTTCACTGAGATCCAGCTCACTCTCAATCTTTTTCTCTTGCTTGTAGGGATTAGTCTTGTCACATAGCTTTGGTGATAGACATTTAAAACGTCACCACTTTCATGGAGTATTTCGTGATCGGATAGAAATGTTGCTTTCAGCACAGACCTTTGTGGGGCAAGTGTTGGTAAGTACATTTTCACTGTTAGCTTGCTAACAGACTTTAGCCATGAGGTTGATTATAGTCAGTATATATAATTTTATTACCCATGTGAGCTCTGGTGTTCCCTGTTGGCCTTATCTAAAATGTCACTACCTCCCAGCTGCCATCTCCCTGAGTCTATCCTCCATAGCCATTGTTCCGCTTGCTTTTTCTTTGGAGTGAATATAATTACTTGGCATTATATTTTCTACCTGTAGCCAGCCTATCCACCAGAAGAAAAACCTTACTAGGCCAAAAGTTGGATGCATTTTTTTCTCCTTGTATGTAGTTGGATGTCTGGCATATTGTAGATGTTTCCAAAAATTTGATGTTTAGTGGATTATCTGGCCTGAAAATGTACAGCTATTTTCCCCTCCTTTGATTCCAATACCTTTTTTCTTCATTACACAAGCTAGTCTTTTTTGCCCCTCTATGATATTTATCATTTTACTTCCTGTTTTAATCTAAGTAACTTGGACGTATTAAAATGCAATTCAGGCATCATCTCCCGGAGGAAATCTTACCTTATCTCTATATTAGGCTAGGAATCCCTCGCTAAGCTTCTGTAGTATCCATTGAAGACTATTATTAAAATTGTCTGTACATATGCCTGTCTCCCCCAGTGCACTGTGAGCTCCTTGAAAGAACAGACTGTGTCATGGAAATGTTTATCTCCCATTAGCTAGACATAGCCGATGCCCTATGAATGAATATTCCACTGATCATCGTTTCAGTAGTACAGTTTGATCTGAACCATTAAAAAATAGAACCTGTAATTTGAGGATATGCTGCCGTCAGATAGTGGTATGATGAAAGTAGATGCATGTGAGCTAGTGATTACCTTCTGCTTTTTTGTGATTAATGAAAACATTTCTCTTTTCTTGTTAATGTTTAATTTGGATGTAATTAATTTTTAAAACTTATTTGGAAGGACAAAAGTAAAATTGCTTTGAAAAAATCTGCAGGGAATGCTGAATCATCTGGGAAGGTGCCTTTCCTTTTTCTTCTGTAGTTTTGGTCTCTTTTCTGAAATCCCTCTCAGTATAACATGCTAGGGAAGGATTTTGTGATTCTTTCTGAATTTATCAGGGATTTCTTGGCTGGGATCTCTTCAAATATTCAAATCATGCTGGTTGTGTGAGGATGACATTGGGAACAATGTATTAAAGGTCATGGGGGGGGCACTGATGAGCACTTACATCATCCATCACACAAGCGTTGCATATGGGGAGTGGGTGGAGAAGGAATGATCATGGATTACATATCAATAAAAATTGCTTCTTTACTGAGGGGAAATTGTTCTTTCAATCTGTTACAGCTGATGATTAAGTAGTTGGAACAACAGGAGGCATGGAGGAAAAGTTAGATTAGAATAAATATTCTAGCATTGAAAGGCATAGTAGAGACTTTCATTAGGGGTCCCAGGCAAGTGCTTTACAAAAGGATGAGAAGAGAATAAAATAGCTTATAGATTTCCTTTCCATCAATCCTTCCTTCCTTACTTTGTAATTCCCCTACTTACTTCTTTCAACAAATATCTATTGTTTGTCAACTACATGCAAGGCAGACACTCTAGACATGGTGAAAAATGCAGGCAAGAGTCTTGCACTTATGGGACTTAAATTCTAGTTTCATTGATCCTTTATACTATTTTTTTGGTTTCAATTTAATTTATTTCTGCACTAATATTTATTATTTCCCTCCTTCTGCTGACTTTGGCTTTTTTAATTCTCTTTCTGATTCTGTTAGGTGTAGCTTATTTGAGATTTTTCTTGTTTATTAAGGTGGACATGTATTGCTATGAATTTCCCTCTTAGAACTGCTTTTGCTGCATCTCATATGAGTTAGTATGGCGTATTTTCATTTTCGTTTGTCTCTAGATATTTTTTGATTTCTTGTTTAATTTATTCAATGATCCATTTGTTGTTTGGTAGTGTGTTGTTTAGTCTCCACAAATTTGTCACTTTCCCAGCTTTTTTCTTCTAGTTGATTTCTAGTTTCATAGCGTTTATGGTTGGAGAAGATGCTTGATATGATTTCAATCTTCTTAAATTTATTGAGACTTGCCTTATTTCCCCATATATGGTCTGTCTTTGAGAATGCCCCATGTGGACTTGAGAAGAATATATATTCTGCTGTTTTTGGATGGAGTGTTCTCTCTCTCTCTCTATATATATCTGTTAAGTCCATCTGGTCTAGTTTTTCATTTAATTCTGCTATTTCCTTGTTGACTTTCTGTCTGGATAATCTATCTATTCATGTAAGAGGGGTTTTGAGGTCCCCTACTATTATTGCATTGCTGTTAATTTCTCCTTTTAGGTCTGTTAAGAGTTGCTTTATATACTTCCGTGCTTCTGTGTTAGGTGCATATATATCTGTATATGTATAGATATGTTGTCCTCCTGGTGAAGTATCTGTTTTCTCATTATATACTGCCCCTCCTTGTCTCTCATTGCCTTTTTTATCCTGAAGTCTACTTTGATATAACTATGGAAAAAACTGCTTTCTTTTGTTTGCCATTAGCTTGGAGTGTTGTCTTCCATCCCTTCACTCTGAGCCTGTGCTTGTCTTTGGATCTGAGATGTGTTTCCTAGAGGGAGAATATTCTTGGGTCTTGTTTTATAATCCATCCAGCCACTTTGTCTTTTGAATGGAGAATTCAATCCTTTTATATTTAGAGTGATTATTGATATATGAGGGTTTAATACTGCCATTTTATCACTTGTTTCTTGTTGTTCTGTATTTCTTTTGTTTCTTGTCCAGTTTATTTCCAACAGCAAATTCAGTTTGATGGTTCTCTGTGATGGTTTTCTCTTTGTTTATCATTTGTCTCTCTGTTCTGAGTTTTTGTTTAGTAGTTACCACAGAGTTTGTATAAAAGATCTTGTAGATGATAAAGCCCATTCTCTGATAGCCTTTTATTTCCTTAGTCTAAGCAGGTTCCATCCCTTCCCTCTTCCCCATCTAAGTTATTGTTGTCACAACTTATTCTATTTTGTGTTGTGAGTTTTTGGTTAAAATGAAGTGATTATAGTTAATGTTGATGTTTTCCTTCCCTTTACCTTTAACATTATAATTAAGTGTTTGCTATCCAGTTCTGATAGCTGTGATTTTCTGATTTTGTCAGTATATTTATCTCCTTGTTCAAGGCTTTGTAAACACTTTCTCTTTTTTTTTCAGGTATGAGGGCCTTCTTGATCATTTCTTGTAGGGAGGTTCTAGTGGCAGTGAATTCCCTTAGCTATTGTTTATCTGGGAAAGGGCTTATTTCTCCATAATATCTGAAGGATACTTTCACTGGATAGAGTATTCTTGTCTGAAAGTTTTTGTCTTTCAGAATTTTGAATATGTCATTCCACTCTCTCCTAGCCTGTAACGTTTCTGCTGAGAATCTGCTTAAACCCTGATAGAGATTTCTTGGTAGGTTATTTTCTTCTGCCTTGCTGCCCTGGATATTTTTTCTTTGTCACTGACTTTTGCCAGTTTTACTCATATATGGCTTGGAGAATATCTTTTTACAAGGATGTAATTAGGAGTTCTATTAGCTTCATTTACTTGTAATTCCATCTCCTTCCCCAGGATTGGGAAGTTCTCCACTATGGAATAATTTTATTTTAATACAAAGGGAAATCACTGAGGATTTTTTTAAGCATGGGGTCAACATGGTCTAATTATGTTTTAAAAATTCAAGAGGCATTAAAGTTTGAAAATAAAGGAACTGTCAAAGTTATACCAGGCAAATGACAACAGAAGAGTGTTGAGAGTGTGTGTGTGTATATATAAATGAGAAAGATTGGCCCTGAACTAACATGTGTGCCAATCTTCCTCTATTTTGTATGTGGGATGCCACCACAGCATGGCCTGATGAGCAGTGTGTAGGTCCACACTTGGGATCTAAACCCATGAACTGTGGGACGACAAAGTAGAGCATACAAACTTAACCACTATGCCATCAGACTGGCCCCTGGAAGCACATTTTAATATCAGATAAGTTTGAATTCAGAGCAAAAGACAATAAATGAAGCCAAGTAATCTGTGTTAGTTTCCTAGGATTGCTATAACAAAGTACCACAAACTGAGTGGCTTAAACAACTGACATTTTTTTGTCTCACAGTTCTGAAGACTAGAAGTCTAAGACCAAGTGTTGGTTCTTTCTGAGGACTATGAGAAAAAATATGTCCCATGCCTCTCTCCTAGCTTCTGGTGGTTTGTTGGCAATCTTTGGTGTGCCTTGGCTTGTAGAAGAACCTAGATCTCTGCCTTCATTTTCTCATGGTATTCACATAGTGTTTCCTCTGTTCATTTCTTTGTCCAAATTTTCTGTTTTTATAAGGACAGCAGTCATATTGGATTAGAGTCCACCATCATGACCTTATCCTATCTGGAAAACCATATTTCCAAACAAGGTCACTTTTAGAGGTACAGAGGCTTGGGACTCCAACATATCTTTTTAGGAGGACACAATTCAGCACACAACCTTTGTAATGATAAATGTGAGGAACATCAACCAAGAAATAACATCATGAATATCACTACACCAAAAACATAACTTCAAGATAGTTAATAAATAAAAAATTAAAAGAGATATGGAAAACACATTAGTAGTATGAAATTTTAGTTCACCTACGTCACATCAGGACATAGTAAACAGACAGAAAAAATAAAAATAATAAGCATAAAGAAAGCCAAAGTAACTTAATGAGAGCTGATTGAAATGATAAAACTCCACATGCTGAAAACAGAAATTAAATTTACAAGTGTCTATGGGCTATTCATAAAAATCCAGCATATATTAGGCCATGAAAAACTATCCCAATTATAAAACTTAAAAGTAAAGACAGACAACGCTAACCGAACACAATGAATAGATTAGAAAATAATAAACAAACCCAGAAAAAAAAGCAAAAAAGACCTTACTGCTAAAAACTTTAAATCATTCTGCCTTAAATGACTCTTGACTCAAAGAAATCAAAATAAAAATTGCA